AAGTTATTCTTGTTTAAAGTTATAAAAAATTTTTATTATAAAAAATTTGCTTGATTTCTATTGACTCACCCCCATATTGTCATTTAAAGTTTGGTTACGGTTTTTTTGATAATTGTCTATATTATTTTTGAACTTGAACAAGGATATCTCGATGACTATACGTTTAATAAAATTTTTTAATTCATGAGAAAAATTGATAGAATCTGAAGCGGGTTCTTCGTATCTATGATCATGCTCAGTTTCTTTCTGTAAGAGGTAGAGCATTTAAGTCATCTTCATTTTCGTTTTCGTCTTCGTCTTCGTCTTTATCTCTTTCATTTTCTATTCATTTCCATATTCATTGTCTGTAGAATCCGATTCTTCTCTTGAATTATAAAGGTCTTCCATAATTAGGTTAAATTTTTGTAGAGAACAAATACCGTAATTTGCGGCAAATAGTACCTGAGATTAATCAAGTATATTTCGTAAGCATGATTGTAAAAGACCCCGTCCAAATATTTTCGCGTTTACTTCAATGATGATTGGCTAACCTCCCCCACATAAAATACCCTCCACCTGGCAAAGTACCCACCGGGTACTAATCAAGACTTTGCCCCTGGGGTACTATTTGCCGCAAATTACAGTATTTGTGTATTTGTATCAAATGACTATTTATTAATCGTGGTCTTTTGTGAAATTACATGTACTAAAATGAAAAATTTTTTTGGATTTGGCGTCCAATTTGTTGTAAAATAATTTTTCATACGTACAAACTAGAGATGCCAAGAAAACCATGTGATGCTAAATGACAAGGAAATAACTAGTAATTTTTTTAAGTCACATGCAATAAGTATAAGCTATAGTGTGCGATGATTTAGCATCACATGTTTTCTCGGCATCTAATACTCATAACCCGGCCCGGCACGACCCGACCCGTTCGGAGCACTACGTGTAATCTAAATTTATGTGATTTCACGTGGTAAACCAGGTAAAGCGAATCAATGCAACGATAAATTTAGTAAATTCGGAAAATGCAGAAATTCACATCGCAGTTAGTAGCTAAAATGTCGAAGAAAGAGGTAGCTACTTTTGCTGCTGGTTGTTTTTGGTATGTCTTTATAAGATAATATATTCACAAATTTGTTTTTTTTGTCCTTAATATTTGTAATTCGAATAATAGGGGAGTTGAACATATTTTTCGTAAACATTTTAAAGATATCGAAGCACGAGTTGGTTATACTGGTGGAACATCAGAAAATCCAAATTATAGACAGGTGAGCTTTCTCCTAAGATTAGTTCCCTTTTAGAGAACCTTATATTTATTCTTTTCTTAAGGTCTGCTCCAAAACAACGGGTCACGCTGAAGCCTGCAAAATCGAATTCGATCCAACGAAAGTTTCGTATGCTACATTAGTTGAATTTTTCTACAAGACTCATGATCCAACAACCTTAAATAAGCAAGGAAATGACACTGGGAATCAATACCGTTCCGCTATATTTTATCATTCTCCTGAACAAAAAGAAGTTGCTGAGCAAGTAACAAAACAGGTTCAAGAAAAACTTGACAATAGTAAACCAGGTTCATTATATTCAGGCTCAAAAATCGTTACAGAAATTGTCGAGGCTAATGAATGGTACGATGCTGAAGATTATCATCAAGAGTATTTAGTGAGTATCTCATAATTAGTAACAGAGATAAATTCCAAAATTAAAATAATGCATATAATTATCGTAAGACAGCAGTAGGATTAGCCACCCTTGCTGCTATTCTACTGTACCTCTATACAAAATCATTCCCTAAAGAGCGATAATTGTATGCGTAATTCTAATTTTGAATTTTACCTTTGTCGTGATAAGTTAGGTGTGACAGATTCAAAGTGTTATATAATATATCCTGATTTATTTTTCGTTTTTAGACCAACAATCCAAATGGATATCAGGTGAGGATAATTTATACAAATTATACTTATAGTTGTTTTTCATGATATAGTTTTAAGCACAGCACTGATGAACAAAAAAAAAAAATTTACTAGTGCCATAATCATTATGTTAGATGGTGAAGTTTTATTACCAAAACACGGTACCTGGAATTCTTTTTATTTGCATTTTATCAACTTTACCGCACAAATAATAATTATAACTCTTTTATTAAATAAATAAATAACATCATATATATTTTTAAATTATCTTAATGATATTTACGATTTTATATATTGCTCTTAATTGTATAATCAAAGAATTTATGCATAAACTGCTAAATTTCTTTTATAATAAAAATCGTTTTATATTAACGCAAAAGAACCCTAGACGAACATAGAGTGTTTTGCCTTTTTATCAATCAAGAAAAATGAATACATATAAAGCTAATAATGAATTGTAAATTCTATACGTATCAGATATTCTATATTTCGATTAGTTAATCATTTGCTTCTATATATATTTGATTAGCTAATAATGAATTATATACTAGCAATACTGTAATATATCACACTGGCGATAAATAATTCTTTTATCAGAATAACAGTAGCTTTGATCGATGTGATATGGGGATGCAACAGAACTACAGTATTTAAAACATTTATCTTCCATCAGTGTTGAAAATTCGTTGTGCACGTATTGTTTTTTGCACAAAAAATTAACAATTACTGTGCAGTATGCACAAAAAATAAAATAACATTCCTGTATAAAAAAATTTTTGCACAGCATATTTGTGCCGAATTTTCAACACTGCCCTCCATATGGGAAATTTAAGATTTTAATTCCAAGTTAAAGTATCAGATCTTATTTATACGTATGCAGAACAATTTTTATTATGCATTAGCTTAATAAAAAATATTGAGATTTTTAGATTTGAATTAATTCTTCGATGACACAACGCTCTAAAAATAGAATAACAACCGTTGTCAATTAACTTGGCGAATTGAATTCAAGCATATGTTTATACAAAAAATTTATAACGAATAAATCAAAATCTGGAATTGAAATTTCGTGTAACAAAATTTTTATAATTCCTGACTTATGGTTAGAGATGTACAGTACCTCGCGCAAGGTGACGAAATCCTCACACCTGCAACTTCACGCAAGGTGAATCATTCATTAAGATAATTTTAATGATCAGTAAATTATCAATATAAAACTTTAAATCAAAAAATTTACCACAACACAAAATCGTGCTAAACCTCGCGCGAGGTGCATCTCTACTCATGACATATATATAACACCGAATCTAGTATAATACGGCTTTTAAAATAGGTAATTTACGCCCTATACCGGCCGATCAGATCACAGTATTCGCATTATCTGACTACGTACAATATATAATATGATGAAAGCATTTTACTTATCCACACTTTATAGCAATGATAGATTACGTACGCTAGTTTTCCGAAATAGTATTGATGAAACGTATTAAAAAAATTTTTTATCGATTGTATAACGATCGTATAACGATCTTCAATAGGACGGTCGCTCCCGTTAGTCCAAATCGAATCTGATAACGAAATATTCACATGACCAGAGAAATTTGATCGTGTACCCATTTCCGCATCGGTATGAATTACGGGTTATGATAGAGATTCATCTTCGAACGTGGAAAAAAAATTAGGTCAATTGTAGAGTGCTCGTGTAACCAATTAATTTATTTAAGATAGGTTTTCTTAATTTATTTCTAGGCTTTTTCGTTCTGCAGTAATTCAAATGTAAATTCAAGAAATGTTAATTTTAATTATATTCTTTGAAAAAGAATTAATTAATTTTTATTTTTATTTTTTTTATAGGTCTATTCACGATAATTTTAACGTCACGTCACAAAACCTCAATTTTGCGGAAAAAGCTTGGACCGCTTGGTTCCATTCTTTCGAAAATGAAGTTGTCGCCACCGCTCTAATAGCTTTCATTATGCATGAAATTGTTTATTTTGGGCGTTGTGTACCCTTTTGGATCGCTGACTTAATACCCTTTTTCCGAAAGTACAAGCTTCAAGCTGTAAGCGAGCGTTTATCTGTATCTTAATTATTGTTCAAATGGTTAATTCATAATCGAATCATTAATCTCACTTATTTTTCTTGGATAGAATAAATCTAATACGGTAGCAGAACATTGGCAATGTCTTAAATCTGTTCTTTTTGCTCATTTTTGTGTTGAACTCCCATTAATTTTCAGTTTTCATCCTGTGGCTACAATGTTCGGAATGGAAATAACCACAGTTCCATTCCCTCAATGGCAAAAAATGACATATCAAGTTGCCTTGTTTTTTATTTTTGAGGATACATTCCACTATTGGTTTCATCGTTTATTACATTATGGTCCTTTTTATAAGTATATTCATAAACAACATCATGAATATTCTGCTCCTTTCGGACTGGTAAGTTTCGCAACAAGATTACGCTAGTTGATCACGTGCAAATTTTTAACTATTGTCTTTTAGACAGCCGAATATGCTCATCCACTCGAAGTAATTATCTTGGGCGCTGGAACTATCGGAGGTCCGCTTTTATGGGTTTCAATTACTCATGATCTTCACCTTATTACTGTTTTCATTTGGATTAGTTTACGTCTATTTCAAACTATTGATGCACATTCTGGCTATGGTAATTGGATATTAATTTCATTAAATATAAATAATATAAATTTTTTTTTTTTTCTTTATATTCATAAAATTTAAAATTTTTTTTTCTCTGTATTATAAAAGATTTTCCATGGTCACTTCGTCATTTCATTCCGTTCTGGGCGGGCGCCGAACATCACGATTATCATCATATGGCATTTGTTAATTGCTTTTCTACTTCGTTTAGATGGTGGGATTATTTAATGGGCACTGATTTAAAGTACAGAGCTTACAGAGAAAAGAAGGAAGCAGAGCTCAAGAACAGTGGAAAGGCAAAAGTAAAAGCCAACTGATTGAATAAATTTTGTAGTTGATACCAATGAAATATTTAAAATAATTTTTTTTTCTAATAAAAGTAAGATTTGTAAATTCAACAGATAAGATTTGGAAAACAAAGTATTTTTTGCCTTTAATATCTATTGTGGTATGATCACGTGTAATAATAGTATTGGAGGTTTGTTCATTATCATTATTATAGGTACACATATTACTTACTCAACATGTACATCTGTACATTCAACGATAGTACAGGTTGATACAATTTAGCCGGTACCAATGATTAACAGTTAACTTTGCAATTGTCGGTTACGTAATATACTGTATATTTAATAATATATAATGGTTGAATAGGACATTTGTACTTAAAAATTTTACTAAACGAACTCAGACACTTAAATTTTCAAGCATAGTCGATCATTTCAAAAACCTTAGAACACCTTTGTTCTCTTAACTCATTGATATTTTCGACTAATACCTAAGGTTAGTACACTCAGGTTGCTTAACATTCTTTAGACAATTTTCATTTTCTTGATTTCCAATTTCGGTGCCCTTTTTTTTTTCTTTTTGGCGAATTGCCGACAAGAATGAAAAATAAATTTAATTTTTTTAAAGTCGGGCAAGAGGAGTGTAAAGTTATTTGGGATATTGAAAATTTTATATACTAAAGTCCAAGTGTAAATTATTTTGTATGACAGTAAAAAAATGAAAAGTCCGAGGCATACCTTACTTGGTAAAGCAAGATTTTTAAACAAAATCTTTTCCAAAAATATCAATGATGATTCAAAAGATAGAGCTGTCACTCGTCGACAATTATCAACATTATCAACATTATCACCCACAAAATTTCCTCCAGAAGTTGAAGACGAAGGTTTTTACACAGTTGAAGACTCAACTACTAAAATAGGTGTGTAAAATTTGTGTTCAAGACTTTACATAGACTTTACATGTTTGTTAACTATTGATTTCAGTTACTAATCTTACAAAACTATATATTTCTATAATGTATAATTTATCTTTTAATATTAGATTTTCTGATTAAACTTCCTTATGAAATCGCTGCATATATACTTGTATTCGTTAATTATCAAACTTTATGCCGAATGTCACGAGTGTCTCGTGCATGGAAATATATATCTCAAGATAACGAACTTTGGCGTAGTATGTATATGGCAAACAAAGGTTGGAAGGCATCCATACCGCGAGAAGCAACACTTGCAGGTGAAGTCGCTTGGAAAGATTTGTACAGAAACAGACATGTTCTCGCTATGCGATGGAAAAAAGGCGAATGTGAAAAGACATATCTTAACGGTCATGGAGACAGCGTATACTGTATACAATTTGATGAACATAAAATTGTTACAGGGTCGCGTGATAAAACCATTAAATTCTGGGACATTAAAACTGGTGAATGTTTTCAAACATTATTTGGTCACGAATTATCTGTCTTGTGCTTACAATATAATGATAAGATTATGGTTTCGGGTTCTAGTGATAAGACTATTATTATTTGGGATATGCAAAAGGTTGGTATGCAAAAAATTAACCATCCAGTAACCCAATTACGACGTCTCACAGGTCATACTGCAGGCGTTTTGGACATTTGTTTTGATGATTTTTATATCGTTTCTTGTTCAAAAGATAGTACAATTAAAGTTTGGGATATAAATACAGGTGCATGTCTTCGTACTTTAACGGGTCACCGCGGTCCTGTTAATGCTGTTCAACTTCATGGTAATAGAATTATATCAGCATCAGGTGATGCTTTAATTAAACTTTGGAATTTAGAGAGTGGGGAATTCCTTAAAGATTTTATTGGCCATACAAGAGGTTTGGCCTGTGTTCAATTTGACGGTAAATGGGTAGTTTCGGGTTCTAATGACAAAACCATTAAAATCTGGGACGTCGAAACTGCTCAATGCGTCCGTACGTTAGAAGGACACACTGATTTAGTTAGAACATTACATTTCGACGAAGACAAAATTGTTAGTGGAAGTTATGATCAGACCGTTAAGGTTTGGGAATTAAAAACCGGAAAGCAATTATTAGACTTTAAAGAAGGTCATACAAGTTGGGTATTTGACGTTCAGTTTAGCTCAACGAAAATTGTTAGGTAAATATATTTCTATATTTATATATAATACTATTCATATTTGACGCTTTCATTATTATATCAATTAACAACAACATCTTCCTTCTTCTGAACCTTTAAAATTCAACTTATCAATAGCACAAGTCAGGATCAAAAAATTTTAGTTATGGATTTCGCCGATGAGTTGGATACGAAATATATTTTATGATTATGAACAAAGTATATCTTATGAACAATTAACAGAACATTTTACAATTTTTTTTTTTTTATCTTCAATTTACACCACACATTCACCATACATTTTTCTTATTTTCAATAATCAATCGCCTTCGACTAGTAGACTGCTCAAATATTTTACGAGTTTTTGAATTTTTGCTGAAATATAAATGATTCTTTCTTTCTATATCTTTGTCCATAGAATTTGACATATCTTTTTTTATCAATAACCAATAACATTCTTTTATATATCAAATTCTTATTCGTAATAATTTATTGAATTATTTGTCATTCATTTGAATTGGTTTAATTGGTGGTTTGGAAGTTATGTGATTTGATCAGTATGAGAATTGTTGAGGTGGTTTAATTTTGTTATTGTTAATAACAATTGACATTAATAAAGAACAAAGTTTAAAACAATAAATATCGGTAATTGTTCAAGCGTAATATCTGTTATATTTATTTCTAATAAAATTAAAAAATGACAATTTTACCACGGTCAATTCAAAAATAATTTAAGTCCGCAATAAAGTTCATTAAACAATACGATTGATTGCTATATAAACAATATTTCCACACCCTTTTTTGATAATGCCACTCCCCCGCCGATCATTCTAATTTTTTTAATTTTTTTAAAACTTTAATTTAAGATATCTCGACAAACATCTAATCAAATTTGGTAAATTTTTTTTTATTTTAATTGTAAAAATCTGCAGAGTTTAAAGAAAAAATTCATCGGATTTGATCAGGGTGATGTCGAGATATCTTCGATCAAAATTTCACAACAATTTGCAACGCGGCTTCTACTTGATAGGTGTTCAAAATTTACAAAATCTTTGGTCGAGGATATCTCGACAACCACCTGACCAAATTCGATGAGCTTTTTTATTTTAATTGTATAAATCTGTAGAATTTAAAAAAAAAAAAGTTCATTGAATTTGATCAGATGGATGTCGAGATATCTTCGATCAAAGTTCGAAAGAATTGTAAAAATTTGAATAATTGACGGGGTGTGACATCAAAAAAGAGTGTGGAAATATTAATTTCTATAAACAAAGTTATTATATCAATACAGTATACTGTATTTATATATAT